ATTAGGACTTACCTATTAGGCTTATTTAGGGGTATCGCTACTTAGTTATTAGGTTTTTATATATAGTTTAGCGTGGTTTACTATGAGTATTGGAGTCTAATCTATATTATCGCTCGCTCTTAGTAAGCGTGGACGACCTATTCGCTTAGCTTTATTAATATTAAGGGTATCTATATCTATGCTAATTTCGTGGAGTCTGGAGATTAGTTCAGAAAAGGTAGCGGGAATATTATGATTTATAAGTAAATTAGTTATTATTTTATTAAGTGCCCCGAGGAGGATTTGCCTCTTAGCTTTATTATATTAGTCTAGGGCGTCTGTGTCCGTAAACTCCTTCTTTAGTCGTAGTAGGAACTTCGAAAAGGTTATTTTATTAGGTTATCGGATCTAGTGTAACTGTCTCGCTATATATACCTTAATATTTAGGTCTCTATAGATATTCTCGAGGTAATTTAATAGTGCCTAAGGGTCGCCGGTGTCTTAGCGTAGTTTCACGAACGTTCCGCTATTCTTCTAGGCGAGTTTCTCTAGCCTAGAGAATATATATATAAATTGGTCCTGGGGCGAACTAATAGCTTATTTATTAACGCTTAGTTTATTCTCAATCGTTATACGCTAGGTTAGCTAGTCGTTTATGTTACCACCGAATAGGATAGGGTCCGGTAGTCGTGCCTTTAGACGGTAAGGCCTTTTGTTTCGTAGGTGTTTCGCTATTACTTTAGTAGCGATTTATGACAGTGTCGCTTGTTCTTCCGTGGTCGTTATCGTGGTAAGTAGGACCTATTAGTCTAGTATTACTTTAAGGCGCCGGATTTATTCTTCTTGAATAGCGTCTTATTAGTTACGTCGCTCTCGTTCTTCGTTTTATATAGCTTAGGTCTGTGCTATTTGCTATAGTAGCGTCTGTGCCTATAATAGTGGGCTTGTCGCTTCCTGGTGCTGTATCCTCGCTAGGGGTACGGCTTTGTGGGGGAAACGGTCGTGTTTTGTCGGTGCTTTGTCAGTTTAACGATAGTGAAACAGAAGCTTTTTGTATATAAAGGGCTAAAGCGAGACTTAGATTCAATCTGACTAGGCCACGAACTGTGTACAAAAAGCTTAAAGAAGGGATGTTCCCTCCGTGCGTTCGTTCTGTCAACATGCTAGGGTCACGTGGTTTATGTGACCCATACCGGGCATGGGCCCGTGACAGGTAGGATAGAAGAGGAAACAGAACCGGTCACGCCCGGTCGTTCTGTGAAGCCGAGAATATTATAAAGGCTATTTTAAGCAGATATAGGTACTATATAGCTCGTAATAAGAGGCCGTTAGAGCTATAAGCGATGCCACCTCGAGAGAAAGCTCTTAGAAAATTCGTTGGACTAAGCAGTATATCTTATATTTATCTTTGAAATATACAGCTCTTCTTGTAGGCCTAGCTGGAGAAATACTTATATATAAATATTGTTCTGGGTATATTTTTTTGGGAAGGTGGTGTACTTGTAAACCCCGGAATAAAGCCTTTGCTCTGAGAGCTTAACCCTCCTAAGAGAATCCTCTTAAGAGGAAATTAGACCTATAAGTCCCGACCGGAGAGTAACAGCCAGATAAGAGGGGCTAAGTCATATAGAACCCCTCTTTGTACTGCACCTATCCTCTAACGGTCGTCCTAGTCTTAGTCTGCTCTGGAGACGGATCGGACCTATCTGGATTTCACTTACCTATTTCCGGTGAGCAGGAATACTACTACCCTTTAATAATATGCCTTACTTACCCCTTTTCTTATATTAGGTTACACGTCACCTTTTAAGTCGATGATAGTAACACTAATAGTGTTATCTAAGTACTTAACGAGAGATAAGCGGTATTAGACTGTTATGGTTAAACGGAGCAAATCCTCTGAGTTTGCTATGAATTGCAGCTAAATACGGGGGCCGCTGCAGCAGTGATGCGATACACTGCAGACCGCAGTGGCTTTCTATTCGTTAGTGGTTGCCTAGATAAGCCAGCCCGAGACAGTATAGGGTGTTAGGGGAAGAAAGATTAAGTGATCTGACATCGACCCCGCTTAGTATCTTGTTTCTCTTCCTTTCCTCTCCTTTCTCTTAAAGCTGAATTGTCTGAACTATATCTTACAAGGCTTGTTTTACTATATATGTAACCATTACTCCATATCCTTAAGTGCCAGCGAAATGAACCAACCTTCTCATGTGGAAAGTCTGACTGAGACGCTGAGAAACTTTGGCTTGAGTGATGCGCTTGAAGATTCAGAGCACTTGTTATTTAGACCTTAAGCAGATAGTGGATTGGCGTTGACGGCTTTTGATCAAATTCCCCGCTACCTGTTTCGGGTCGCCTCCCCCAAATCCGCCGGAACGACAAATGAGACGTGGGTTCGTTCAGAGTCAACCTCCCAGAACAGAAACTCCTATACGGATGATATTTTCTTCGACTTAAATATTGAGAAGCGGACGACCATAGCTCGAACACTTAACCTGCATCTTCGGTGGTGGGAAAAGCGCGGCCTAAGGGACAATTTTGTCTTATGGACCAGCTCATTGCTCTTCGCAATTCAGTATATCTACTACCGATATCTGAGCCAAGAAGATGGCTCGAGTTTAGAGCAGATAAAGTTATATGTGATAGATACGGAATAGTTCCCTAAAGGCGCATTTCTTCGTGACTTAGACCTGATTGATGCTTTCTGGGAATCCGATAATCACCGAGCAGGAAAAAATTTGGAGAACTTACGATATTTTCGTGACGAAACCGAGAATTATTTTAGAGAATACCTTTCACAAGGGTCACTGAAGATCGAGGGTAAATATGAAATAATCTCCGGCCAGTCTCTTATCGAGGATAATCGATTGCGTCGCCTATAGCCCTATTTTCGTGAGTTTCATGATTTTCCAGTCAGTAACGGGAAACCGATATAGGTCAAAGAAGTTATTCGTCTTCGTAAAGCTATTTGGAGGGTTACCGATTCAGCGTAATTATCGCTAACAGAGACAGTCGACCGTTTTAAGGCTCTCGAAGAGATCGTACAAACCCTTAAACCGGGCTAGAGATTCCCCTTTGCGATTTACTTTGCATCACTTATTGGTTCTGGATCTTCAACTGACGAATAAGGTGAGGGAGTGGACGGTATCTTCTTAAAGTATTTCTAATTTACGTTTCCTTACGGTGGGTCGACAATATTTCCACTCTATGAAAAGATATGGATATGACCACGGGCGCTAACAGAAAAATTTCAAGAAAAGTAAGTATGGCGCCCTTCCAACGTCGATATTGTCGCACCAGAAATAATGCCTGAAATGAAGTGGGTCAAAAGACTTGCTCATAAAACATATACCCACTGCGCGCTGAGACTCGCTCTAGGTTGGCGTCTTCCCCATAGTTTGGTGCTCTTTGCTTCTTTTTGACAAAAGTTCTAGATCACGTCTCAGCGGCCGAAGCAAGTATTGCCAGTTTAAAATCTGATAATTTTTCCTCTGGAAATAGCCATGCTGTGGCAAATTCGAACGACTTGGTGGACCGTACAAGCCAAATCCTTCTGATAAGGCTTCGCTCAGTACAGACCATATGTGAAAAGCTTATCTTGGGGATTTTATTAGGTGCGGTATAGGTACAGCCATCCTTGATTTCATTTCTTTTCCCATGCTCTTTTCAATCTATTATATTGTTAATATTTGTTTTCCATGACTTGTTTTGTCCATACGTTTCCGTAGATACTACGGTAGTATTAAACCAGAAAAATCGAAATGGGGCCCCATAACAAGAAAGATATCCGTTCGTTTTAAAACTCTATAAGTATTAAGACTGAATATTGATACAGTACCTAAATGGTATTTAACCCATAGAGAAGAGGTACAAGACCATTAGCCGTTACTTTCAAACTCGTTCGATGGCCTACGTTCGGGATCGAACTAGGGCAAAATGACGCCACTTAGCCTTGTGAATGGTTAGTGGACATTCAGGACTTCCCAATCTGAATAGGCCAGAAACCCTTAAGAATGTTTACACACAAGGGCTAATATATGTGTTGAAACATGGCGACTTTACGGTCTACCATTACGCCCATTCCTGCAGATTTTCCTATTGGATGGCCTATGTTCACCACTAACGTGGGTTAACTCAAACGCTGCCAGTTCGGAACACAGATGCTTCGGCGAAACAGACCGTTGAACTCAGCATATAATCTACCGTACTTGATGAACTTGCACGAGGCTTTAATTAAGTCTTGTGAATGTTGGTCAACGAAGGAACAAGATGATCAATACGTCAAGGCAATTTTGAGTTATATGATGAGAATTTACTTACCTCAAGATTTGAGGTTGACAGTTTATGGAGGACCTGAGATAGGTTCATCTTCAGTTAAACATATTAAACCGCACGTTATTGCTAGAGTTACAGTATTACTCTATCAGCCGCAATTTTGTTCCTGCGGGAAGCCTGAATCTACCCATTCACGTTTCTATCGATGCTTGCTTAAATTTGACACTTCAATCAGAGCGCATAGCCTTTACCTATAAATATTCCGTTAGATATTAGCTCTCCTAGCATTCTCCAGTATATGGCCGTTGTAGGTTTTGTCGGCGAAGGCAGCTAATCCGTCTCGCTTATAGAGCCTATACCACCGGAGAAATTTCAGTACGCAGGCAGGGAACATACCATTTCTTTCTAGGTATATTGGCGAGTGACTGCGTGACGCCTAATCGCCAGATCTTGGAGCATACAGAATCGTGTTCCGTAGAACCGGCGCGAGGATGAGAAATGTGAGCCTATTCTCTATGTATCAAAAGGGTTTATTCTGACTATTAGCTTCATCAAAAGACGTACAGCGAGAGCATACTATATATCCTTCGCAGCAGGCGGCTTTTACAGAAGAACAGAAACGGGGTCTTGCGGGCGATGTACTCGAGAGAATGACCTCGCCCGGTGACTGTACTTGCTAGGATATTAAGGACTGAATTTATATATTTACTGACTAATCCAAACCATCGGGTCGGCTTATCTTCCAAATGTCGAAAGGTCAAAGCGATTGGTGTACGTGGTGCCTGGGGTATGAATCTCCTCGTACTTACTAACTCAGAGATGTGAGTAAGCTAGTAAACATTCCGTCCTGACCGGCCACTCCACGATAGCTAACTCCTAAGATGTAGACTTTGATTTGCATTATTCGATTATCTGCTGAATCCTGATTCAAACAAGCAATAGAAGAGACTATCGCAGAGCTGCGACGTTAGCTTGAAGAGGAGAGACAGGCGCGAGAGGGAGCAGAGCGCTGTGAGGAAGAGGAGAGACTGGCGCGAGAAGAAGCAGAGCGCCTCCAGGGAGAAGCAGAACGGCGACTCCAACCAACACCCTGTTCCGCCTCCTCGATCGTTGCTATGAGTCTCTGTCTCAAGCGATCGCGAGTTGAGACGGATGCGACTCTCACAACCCAGGGTGACGCGACTGACCTAGTGAACCGACTTTACCCTAAGTATATAGTCCCTTGGCCTGACTTACCCCAGCTCTAAGAGTAAGTCTGGAGCAAATTCGACCGCACCGCTGACTTTATCTCGCGCCCACTCTTTCCTTCCGATATTCGAATCGATTACGTCATAGGAATGTTCAGAACAGCCCGATCTATTCTGAAACGTCGCTTCGAAATCTTGAGCGAGACACTTCGGATAACTTTGTCGAAAAAGTTATTAATACTTTGCGAGATGATGAAGCCCTTCGCATAAGCAAGACTGACAGTGATTGGTGTGAATGTGGCGGCGAGCGAGAGACAGTCTCACATTTCTTGCTTCGATATACGAGGTGGAAAGAATAACGTCGCGCACTAATTGATGCTATAGGCCCGAGCTTTGGAAGTCTATCGCAGATGTTAGGAGGCAACCTGAAAGTTTTGGGGATGCGAGTGCATCGAATGGTAGAGCATGGAAATTCGACGTCAAGTTTGTCCGAGCCGTCATCGCGTTTGCAATGGAGACGGGACGGTGAGATACTGCTGATTGGCGGCTTTATTAGCGAGAGAAGGCTTGTCATTGGCCCGTCGCCACAAGGTGGATGATGTGCGCGCAGGACGCTGATGGCCTCGAGACATTGTGGCCATTTTAGTCCAGTATCCTGAGAGGCATCTGCTACATGAATCAGAACTATTCAGGCCGTAAAAGGGCAAAGGAGTATGAATATCGCGGAATACATAAATAGCCCTAGTGAATTCTACATCACTTTTTGCATGCTAAAATGGTTGTATTTGAATTTCCTGACTAACTGTAGATGAGGTTCTTGAGAAACAAATCACCAGCCAGACCCAATTATGCCCTTACAATCCTGAGGGTAAAACTGCCGAATGGCATTGTAGCTACACGCAAAGCTTGACTACCGTGTCAATCATGATATCTAGAAAATGCTAGCATCTGCCAACCCTCTGAATCTTGATGACTGTCAGTGTGGTTCCAGACTCAATTAATTGCTGCGGTTTAACAGTTAGATATGAACTCTATCGGTCTGTTGGCAATGGTGAATCGTCATTAATCAGCAGCCTAGAGCTCGCGTTTTTGACAGTTACGCAGCCAGAAAGGACTTGAACCCTGCGATCTGAGCATAGTTTTCACGTATACAATTAACATGAGAACAAAATTATGACTCTTGAAATCAATACTGTAGCCCTTTAACGAAAGTACGGACAAAGACGCCAGAGTAATCAAACATAATTAGATAGTGAGTGTTTTGACCGTTGAACCCCAAGAGCATTTGAATACTGTGAGCTGAGCAGAATTAAAGACTGGTGAGCTAAATTGATAGCGCGGTTACGTTGATGGAAATGAACACACTTTTTGACCATTAACCGCACTTGAATACCGTACAGAGCGTGCAAATCCCACTATCTGGCAATCTTTACCAGGGTGCTTGACTGGCTTTAAGTTAAATAGTTGTTTCTGGTGAAACCCCGTATCCTGCCTTGATGTGACCCTTGGTCACGTGGAATTCAGGGTCTACGTTATCCCCCGAGGAACAGGAAGTTTTCATTTCACCCGGGTGCGCGATCACGTAAGTCACTTTCTCACGTGGCGCTAATCCTGAAGAGGCTAGTCACGTGCTAGGCCAAGTATGGTTGGTCTGAATTATAGCGGCCGGTGTTGTTGCCAAAGCACTACGCCACGTGTCATATAATACAGTATTTAATACCATACGATACCAGATACTACGCAGGCCAAAGCTCTTCATGGTACAGTGGTGTAACGTAAGTATTTGACCTCGAGTACTTCGGGATCAATCTTTAGCCTGACCGCTTCATATACCGCCTACTTTATTAGTATGCCGCGTTTCAACGCGCACACACGCTATTATTTAACGCAGTTTAACGGATTTTTATCTTCTGAATTTGCTTTAATTATGCCTCCTATACGTACGAAAAGAGGCCCTGAGCTTAACTGCCTTACTAGGGCTAAGATCTGCGAATTACATACTACAAATGGCTGGGTGCAACAACTATTAAGAAGATACGCTTTCCCGACATTCCACGCTCGACTATTCAATATACTCTTACCTAAGAGGCAAAGCGTCAAAAGTAGCGGAGTCTTCCACGCTCAGGCGCCCCAAAGAAGCTTACTAAAGACGATCGTGACTATATATATAAGACTATCCAAGAAAAGCCATTAATATTGATCGAAGATTTACTCGCAGAGGTCGATTTAAGGTCTACCGTATATTAATTTGGCGCCTAACCACGAGATAGGCCTTCGGAAGTAGAGGAAGATATAGCGGCCTTTATTAACGCCTTTATACGCCAAAAAATGTCTAAATTGGGCCCTAAGATATCAACACTTTATATCTACGGATTGGGCCCGCGTCTATTGGTCTGACGAATATATAGTTAAACGTAGAATCGGCTAACGTTAAGAATGGACTTTTATTCGTCCGAAAGATCAGCTTTTTCAGTATTCAAAAGAGGGTTCTTAGGTTTAAATAGTTCCTACGCGAGGGAAGTAAATTAAGCAGATATTTTGGGCTGCTTTTTGCGGTTTACTACGTCGATCTGGCCTAATTCCACTATTCGGAGATCCTAAGTCTCGACGCGGTGGTGTCTCTTCGCGTACGATTAAAGAGCTATATCGGCGTGTCTTACCTACGCTACTTAATAGCCTTAATTATAATACTATTTTTTAGTAAGATAACGCGCCAGTATATACTATATATATCGTACAGGATACTCTTAATAAGCTTAAATATGAGATTATGGAATGGCCTCCCTATTCGCCTGATTTGAATCCGATTGAGAATCTATAGGCGCTACTAAAAGCCGAAATTTTGAAGCGTTATCCTAAGCTTATTGTAAAGGATCTATGTGTTCAGGATAGAAAGCCTGTCGGTTAGGTAAGGAAGGATGTCTGGACTAGGTGTAGTATTGTAGAAGCAAGACTGATTCTTGCTAAGTCTAGATTAATTGGAAACCCTCTCGATTTAAGTACGAATTAGGTCCGAGACTTGCTTATCCCACTGCGGGGCAAACCTTCACCGCTAGTCCTTAGTATTCCTTTATAACTACCTCCCCTTCTAGAGACGACGGGCCCCGGAAGTAATTGAAAAATTTTTTTTTTTTCTCTTAGTCGTTCTTTGGTATAACGTTATGTGGTAGCACGTGACTCCCTAGGGTCGGATTATATGATAGGGATAAGCCCTAGGTGTCGTTATACTTAAGGTATATTATATAGGAGTTATAAATAGTATTAGACTCCCTCTAGTTTCGCGGCAGACCCAGACGCGATAGGGTAATAATATTATTATATCGCGCGAGGTCGTGTATTTAATTTGGCTAATAGTAATATATATTTATATATGTCTTTTCTGGTTACGTATCGGTAGTTTTCTAGCGTATTATTATTGTTTACTTATATATATTATTAATATCTTTACTTATATATTTCCTTATTTCTCTCCCCTTACTCTTCCCCCTTTAATAACTCTCTTCTATCTCCTTAGTGCTTATATTTAGTATTATTTTAACTTCTTTTTATTTGTTCTTCGGCCATAACTTATTATTAGTTTAGCTTCCTCTTTATTTCTTTTCTTTTTCTCTATTTTTATCGTTATTTCGCTCGCGAATTAATATATCTGCTCTTTTGTCCCTTAGCCGTCGCCCTCTACGGAATATATCTCTGATCCCCGAGCTTACTTAGTGTATTCCCTACGCCCGCCGCTCCCTCCGAGACTAGGATAGGCAGAGCGCCTTCTTAGTAATTTATATATATAATACGCTAAGTTCTGTCCTATACTGGGTATATTTCTGTGCTAATCGTCCTTACCCTTCGGTTTATTTACCTTTTTTATTCGGTTATATTTTATTACTAATCTATCTAGGTTCCCCTTAGTATATAGGGTAACTTAATTAATATAGTTAATTTAGTTAAGTATATCGCGGATATTTAGGCTATCGTTACTAAGTCTGCTAAGGAGGCGGACAAAGATAGTAAGCTTATTATTAGTGACCCTATCTAGTCTGGTACTATTCGTGTTCGTACCGAGGAGGCAGTTCGCGCCCTTATTATTAATTTTCTGTACTTAGTGTCTCGTCACTCTAATATTTATAACCTAGGCACTATATATACTACTAAGCCTATAAGTTAGAAGCCTATTTAGTATAAGTTTCGCTAACGATTCTATAGGTTAACTTTATTATTTATTAGATATATTTAGCCGGTTATCTCCCTATTCCTATTAATAATCTTAGCCTTAGTGTATCTAATATTTACTATCTCTTATAGGAGGCTTCGCTAGTCCCTCGTTTATCCCTTATAGATATTATATTTGCTTCTTAGTGGGTTACGAAGCTAACCTTCCGCGATAATATTTTAGCCGCGCTTCGCCTCTAGTACGCGGATAGAGACGCTAATAGTGCGGCGATTATTAATAATATTATAGCCTATCTTCCTCTTATACTTTAATCTTTCGGTCTTATTTCCTTAATATATCGGTATATCTTTGTAAAGGTTTTCGTGTGTGAAACCTTAAATACCTAATTTTATTCTTACTGTTTTTGTGGTGACCGACTTTGGGTCGGGATCTTTTCTTAGGATTTTAATAAACTCTTTTGCCTTTTCTCTTTTTCCTATAGTCCTATATTACTTCTTAGGTATTCTTTATATCTACTTCTAGTAACTATTAGTTATATTCTGCGGGCTATCCCTTCCACTTAACTAGGAAGTATATCTCGTTACGGAAGATTTTCTCGTCCTTAACCTTCTTAATCTCCTATTCGTTATCGTCCGCGAGCTCTAATATTAGAAGTAGGTTCGCGTCTAATTTACGCTAGTGCTAGGGCTCGAGGAAGGTTATAGGGAAGATATTATATAACCGGGAGTATTAGTTAGGTAAGCTTAGACGATACGCTTATATTCCGA